GGCATCGACGAACGATGCCGACCAATAAATAAAACACAGACGATACAGGGTGTTGACAGACTTTATTACTTATACTTGGACTTTACACGACACTTACAAAACTGGCGAATACTTAGTAATTAGAGTTGGGCAATCTAGTTCTTCACATAGCGGATCGATCTTTCTCGTTCCTTTTTTTAAAAACGAAACTAGTTCCTTTGCTCCATACAGTTCCTTTGCTTCAAATAGTTCCTTTGATCCATATAGTTCCGACTCCTACATAGTTCTTTTGAATCTCTCTATTTCATCGTTATTTTTTTTTTTCGTTTTTTCCATGGAGCAAAAGAACTGCTCCATATAGTTCCTTTGATCCATATAGTTCCTTTGCTACTTATAGTACCTTTACTCAATCCAGTTCCTTTGCTCTTTATAGTTCCTTTGCTCCATATAGTTGCTCATATTGTAACTTATCAACGTAGGGGTATCTACCTAAAATAAATGTGTAGTCAATCACAATATTATACAATGTGCCATAATATATAGTAAGACGGTCCTAAATCCTGAGAACGACGGGGAATTGACCAATTCGGGTCTTTGGCAAAATTTTCAGTTGCAACCGCTTCAGTCTCTTCGAATAAATTCGCAACTTTGCAAATTGCTTACTCCTCTTAAAGCAAGATATGTGGCTGTGGCAGAATCACCATTTATGTAGTAGGTCCTGATAATTTTTATGTGTTGCTAAGTGATCCCTTCTCCTCAGTGTCGGACTTTCAACTGAAACGAAAAAAGTGGGTTAACAATTTAGTGTGACAGGAGTCATATTCCAGTCCCATTTGCAATTTTGCAACCACGAAATGGATAAACGTGTATAAAATATTTGAAAACTCGGAAATTATGGGTATGAGCCACATATTAAGAACGAAAATACATACATTTTCCTATAGTAATATTATATATTTTATAAATAAAAACATCTGTTTTAATTTATATTGTATATATTACGTTTTTTTTTATTGTATAAATTATTTCAGCTTAGATTTTTCGACAAGAAAAAAGTTTTAAAAATTAAATAAAAAATGTTTGTTGTTTGCATTCATTGCCGTCGAAGGTGTGGTTTCTTCTTGTTGTTGTGGTTTTTTGGTTATTGATAATATCATTTTTTTATTATACGGTTTTTGATTTAATTTTTCTTTTCTGTGTTTTTTATTGTTTATATTTAAGACTAAATGAAAACAAAGCTTATAAAATTTATATAAATAGGATTGATTACACAGTTGATTAATTGTTTTTTGTTTTTGTAAATATGTGTTTCATTGCAGGCTTCTAAGAAAAACAAGAACCTTATGCTCTCAAGGATAATCAAAATTAACTTATTGTAAACAATGTCGTTTGTTGTTGTTGTAATTTATGCATATATATAAAAAACTTAAACATAATTAAAAACATATTACATAAAAAGGTATTTTTATTATTTTTTTAATACAAAAAAAAAAGACTTTCTTCATTCACATTTTTCTTTTTAAGGATTTAATTAGGATGATTTTTACGAAAAATACATACAAACATATATGTGCATATGTTGAATGAATTATTTTCTGTTCAAGGTTTTGATTGGTTGTTGTACATGGTACACTTTTTTTCTTAAAAACAGAAAAAAAAACATTTACATTTAAAAAAGTATGAAAAACTATTTCTTAAAAAAATACTAAATTTTTAAATAATTAATTTTGAAAATTAAAACTTTGTTTTTAATTTTATATTTTGTTTTGATCGTTTAGAAAATATTTAAGAGTGGAAACACATAACAAAGCTGTTATGTTTTTTTTTATTTTGGGTTGTATTTGTGTTTAAATTAATAGCAAACCCCCTTTTTGAATTTCTTGGTAAAAAAAACGGTTTTATTTGAAACGAATTGTAATAATAAAAAAATTGGAAACATCTCCGCTTCGGTTTAAAATATCAATTTGCTTATATTCATTTTGATCCTTTGGAACTTTGAAGAATTAGAACTAGAAGAAATTGATTTTGTCACGAATATTTTAATATCAAATGTCGACTTTAAAGTATTAAAATGTTAGAATAGTTCCAACATGACGTTGGAATTCAATATATCGTCATAGGTAATTATGGATAGGATAAAGAAAGTCTTCAATAAATACAGGTTATTGAAGCGGGACTTCAATTGTTGAACTTATGCAATTATGTCATCCATTAAGCAGATATATAAATACTAAAAATTTAACATTTTTATAATCTAAGCTTTTAAGCCCACATGGGCTTCAGATTTTTTTCAATACATAGACTGTTGGAAAAATCAATAACTAAAGGCATATAATGATAAAATTATAGCTCTATCTTAACCAGGATCTCATTAAAAAAAGATCTAGTCTTAGATTTTATACTTGAACCTTTTACCGATATCTCACTACCTACAAGGGATCGAAAATTGATATTTTGGATGAAGTCCTTGTAATCAAAATCGTTTTTAATCGTTAATCAACTATCAGGGATTCTTTTAACACATCTATAATTTAGGTCAGATAATTTTGATCAACTATCTTTTTACATTTCAAATGTTATAAATCCAAATAAACATTTTTAAATAAATAAATATTTTTTAAGTCCAATGATTACTCTGCATCCAGAAGGGCTAGAAATTAAAAACAAAAAAATTTATGTCATTAACAATATTCAAAATTTTTTAAACGAAAGATTCAGACTTTTTGGACAACATTTGGTGCAAAAATAAAAAGAAGTCATTTGGTGCCAAGTCAGGGTTGTGTGGCAAATGATCCATCAATTCCTCGTTTGAGCGGCTCCAAAAACACTTAACTAAGCAGTATTGACATTCGAAAAAATGTAGCAAACTAAATCCCCTAAAATGGACCAAAATGTATCTTTTTAAATTTTCCATAATTATTAGCATGAAAACCGAATTAAAAATTTAATTGTTTTTGCTCCGAAATGCCTAAAACGGCAACATTGAAGCTGATGGGTTTGTCATGGTGCATAATAATTCACCTTTTCATGTTCGTTTTTCAAATTTATTCAAATACTTCAGAAAAATAAATTGAGGTACACCAATCAGAATCGACCGTCAGAAATTACAAATTTTACTTAAGAACCTAGCGGTCATTTGCTTCGAAGTGTTTCCTCCACGAACAACTTTTATTGGTTTTGACTTGTCTTCGAACACCCACATAATCGATATATCATTTATATATACACTTTGCTACGGCAATATGAAATATTGGTCAATGAAATATTGGTTTTAGACCCCATGTTTCTTTGGACCAAATCCGTTTCAGACAATTTGGGGCGATTTGTAAATGTCCATTCTTTTCGCTTGCGTGTACGGTAACTCTCTAAGGAAGTAACCGATTTCATCCAAACTTTGCACATCATCACACTTCTTTCTTACTTAGTTGAGGTTTGAAGATGGGGAATATCGGTCTACTACTTCTGACACATCCAACACAAAATGTTCAAAATTTCCAATATTTATAAATCCAATATCAGGCGAATTTAAAACAAACTCTGTACAACATAATAACTTTACCAAGCCTATATCAAGTTCGAAGATAAGATCCATTGTTTCACTCCTTCAGCTACCTCCCCAGTCAAATTCAAATCCTATATCAGACTACATGAACCAAAGGCGACTAGATCAAGACCGAAGGTGGGACCCGTCGACCCTCTCCTTCTGATACCTCCCCCACAAATGGTCAATATATTTTATAAACTTGTAAATTTAATTTGAAGCGAATTGAATATCCGATTCGATCAAGATTAAATCCGAAACCATGTGTGAAATTGCGAAGATCTCCGGATACCGGACAGAAAGGTTGGACCGATTGGCTCATATTCTAGCATGTGTAGAGATTGGAATACAATATTTTAACGAGAATTTTTTTGTAATATATACCAAAAACCGTGGACCGATAGGGTTCATCATCGAACTTGATTTCAGTTTAGAAGAAACATTACTATGTGATTTGCACAAAATTGTCTCTGATATGGATTTGGTATAAAGAAACAAAGTTTAATGCCGAAATTTCGATGAGGTAGGTTTTGGTCTTTTCAAAATGGGCACAACCTTATTAAAAAATAAACAGGACCGCAGGGAGTATTTTTTCGTATAGAACTAAAATCGACAATTTTTTCATATAGAAAAAAATTAAAAGGACCGTAGGTCAATTTTTTTATTAAAAAAATTCAATTCCAATGTTTATCTATAGAAAAGATTCTTAGGAAAACAAGTTCAAATAGAGAGGGCAAAAAAGTATGGTATATTTTCTCAATAACTGAGTTCCTAGACGTAATATAAACCCAATATTCTACAAATAATAAAAATATGATCATGACAAAATCAAAGTTCAAGCTCGTATTTAAAATTAATTAATATTTAACATTTTACAATTTTTAAACTTAGAAATACCTTAACATTTCTAAAACATGAGTACACAAGTAATTTCTAGGACGACTCTAAAATTACAAATAAATTATTATTTTTTAGTTTTTGCAATCCAGTGACTGAATTCATTTTCTGTAAAAATCGGAAATGAAAGAATTGTTCATTATAAAAAAATATTTGACATTTTCTCCCCTAAACACTATTTTTCATTATGAATTTTCATAGAACAAGTAATATGACCCATCCCTTAATAATATAATTAATAATTATATATTACAATTCTTTCAAAATAATACAAACTACTTCTTTTTTAACAAATCCAAAAGGGGGTTAAATATAGAAAATACAAAAAAATGTAATTTTTTGGTGAGGTTATAAAGTATTTATTTATCATCTCTGTGTGTTTATTTCCGTTTGTATTTTATTTTATTTTGTATGGTATATTTTTTTAATTAATATGAATTATGTACGTACGTATTTATTATTTTTATTGTTTCTATTAAATTTTAAAATTTGCAAAACAATGAAATAAAAGAAGAACATAAAATTAGATGTAACATAAAAATCATATATTTATTATTTATGTATATGTGTGGTTGTATGTGTGTGTTTTTGTTTTATTTAAATTATTACAGCAATTGGCAGCAATGAGTTTTGGTTTCATTCGGCTTCCGTACATCGTCTTGTTGTTGTTTTTTACGTGTTGATATATCCCTGATAAGATCATAAAATACCTAAAGAACGAGGAGAGATAGATTTTTTGAGAAATAAACAAAACATTAGAATTATTTTTGAAATTATTGTTTTAATGTTTAAAATAAATATTTACAAAATTTAAATTTATTTAGGTAATATAAATAAAATAGAATGAAAATAAATTATGGATTATATATAAGACCAAAAGAAACGAATAAAATAGAAACCCAACACAAAAAATGAGATGAGAAAATAAAGAGGATTTAGAATTAAAAAAATATATATACAAATTTATCTGGATGATGGTTTAGGCTTAAGCATAAACATTAAATAATAAAAAATATTAAAAATAAAAAACACACAAATTTTAAGCATATTTACACATTTGTCAAAATGCTAGGCAAGAACTATTTTATATTGCATAAGCAAATGCATTATACTTTGATTTTTTTTTAATTTTGTTAAAAAAATTGTAGAGTTTTTTGAAAGTTTTCGTTAATAGATATTTTTATCGATATTTCATTTTTATCGATATTTCCCAGCGACTATTATCGCCGAAACTGATGCCTTTTTCGTAAAAATGGACAATGGAGGTTATCACCCATGAAAAAAAAACACAGACATTTATAAAAGATTGTATGAACATGACAAAGTGAACATAAATTGTTTGGGGAAATTAAAAGACACTACATGTGGTACTATATCCCCTATTATCGATATTGGAGTACTGGGACATGTCTGCTTGAGCAAAAATGTATTTATCTGAAGTCTTCCATAAATTCGGGCAAGATCTCCAACCGCAATTTTTGGTAGGAAATCTTCTTACAAAAAATTATATACATGGGTTTACTTTTTAAGTTGTCCTTAATAAAACGGTATCTCCAGAATTTCGAAATTATTAGAATGATTTAGAAATCTCTCTACTAATAATTCGTCGAAATTTTTCAATGTTTCGGGGTAGCCCCCACAAAAGGTAACCCAAATATATTAATATTTTGAGGATTCCGACGCGTCCTCCGTCGATATTGGATATTTTAGCAGTATGAAGTGGTTGCAATTTCCGCGACCTTGATGGGTGAAAAACCTCTTCACAGAACATCTTCGATGTAATCTAATGTTTTGTATATAATCACCATTTAAAATTCATTCTAAATAGAATTTTTATAGACGAAGTATTTATAGACAAGCTGAGGAGAGTCTAAAGGTTGTGTTTATAGACTGAAGGGAGTCATTATAGACAATGGAATGGAGGTCTTTATAGACGAGCAGGAGGGAGTCTTTATAGACGAGCTGAAGAGAATCTTTATAAAATAGCTAAAGGGAGTCTTTATAGGCGAGCTGTATGAAGTCATTATAGACGAGCTTAAGGGTGTCTTTATAGACGAGGCAGTATAATGTACACAGTATTTTTAGAATTGTAGGTCTTTATAGTGATGCTGATGAAGTTCATATAGACTGAGCTGAGGAAAATCTTTATACGAATTGCAGGACATTTTCATAGAACCACAGTAGAAGGGCTGCAGGAAGTCTTGATAAACGATAGATGAACGACGAAGCTCATGATTTTATGCAGACGACATGGAGAAGATCTCAAGTTTATGTGTGGTCCTATAGAGAAAAGCTTAGGGATTTTTTAGAGGAGCTGAAGTTCTAGAGAAAAAATATAGAACTCCACTGTGAGCTTCAGTGTCTGAGAGCATTTTTCTTCTTTGTCTATTCTATAGACGAGCCGAATCTCTCTAAGGATTTTTTGACACGGGCTGTAGCACTCAGGGCTCCAAAATCTATTCATTAATAAAAGACAGACCTTACATGCAATATCTGAAGACCTCAATGTGCATGACTCTATTTCTATAGGCGAGCCTATATCTAAAGACGAGCTGCAACCCTGAAAATCTCAAGGCCTCTTGTCTTTATAGAACAGATGGAAAATTATATTTTCATAGCGTAGAAGCAATTTAAGGAGAATTTCATTCTTACGGTCTTTCTTACCCCGGCCTCAGGCAGTGAATTTACTTTTGTAGGTGATTTGAAGACCAGTGAGTGTATTTCTAGCCTTCAGGGTCAAAATGTTTATATAAAAAGTTTGTATGCCAAAAAAAAAAAAAAAAAAAAAATGCATGTCATAGAATGCATTTTTGAATAGAAAAATTCCAATAAGGATTGATTACTTTCCAATAGAAAAAATCCTCAGTCAATGATGACTCAATCGAAAAAAGAAAACTCAATGAATTAGGGGTACTTTTTTCTAAAGAAAAAATCCTTTTTAGTTAGGAGTGGTTTTCTTTTTATAAGAAAAATATTCCGCTGCCACTGAGGATTGATTTTTTTTCTGTAGAAAAACAATTCTTAGTCGTTGATGTTTGATTTTTTTTATAGAAAAAATGTCTTATCCGTTGAATTTCGATTTTTTTTCTATAAAAAATGTCAATCACTGAGGATTGATTTTTTCTAAAGACAAAAAAAATTTCAGTAAACCTCTTCTATAGAAACAAATTTCCATGCCAATGAGGATTGACTATTTCTCTATAGAAAAAATTCAACAATCAATTATAACTCAATCGAAAGAAAAAATCACTAAGGACTCATTTTTTCAATTAAAAAACGCACATTCAATGAGAATTAGAATTTAATTTTCTCTATGCAAAAGAAAATCCTGAGGGGTACATTTTCCTACATAAAAAAATTCATCTTTCAGTTAGGAGTGATTTTCTTTTTATAAAAAAAATTTTCAGAAAATTATACATGATTTTGTACTATTGAAAAAATTCTTCAGTCACTGACGAATGATTTATTATAGGAAAAATGGCCAGACTTTTATCTATGAAAAAAAACCAAAAAACCAAGATTGTTTTTGTTTTTCAATTGGAAAAATTTACTCAGCCTTTGGAAAACCACAGTAACATAATATTGACTTTTTTCTATAGAAAACAAATTGTTCTACTGAAAAATCCTTCTGTCGCTGAAGATTGATTCTCTATAGAAAAAATTCCTTAGCCACTAAGGCCAGAATGTCAGTCACTGAAACTTGTTTTTTTTTTATTAGAATAAAATCCTCAGAGTCCGAAGATTATTTCCATAAAAAACCACAGATACTGAGGATAGAGTTTATTCATAGAAAAAGTCATAGTCATATATAGAAAAAAATTTTCAGTCACTGAGGACTGTTTTTTGTAAATAAAAACATTTTTCTCAGCTACTGAGGTCTGATTTTTTCGATCTATAAAAAAAATATTCAAGTACTGAAGAAATCATCCAATATAGAATGTTTGAAATCGCAAATTTCTATGAGGTCTATTAAATACTAGGGATGTCGGAGAAGGGTCGTGATTAATGATCTTCAATATACATATTTAATTTTGATCCTGACGTCACATTTGTTTCATAGAATGGCAGAGAGTTTACAATCGAAGGACAACTGCGTTAAAAATGGAATCAATGAGGTAAGCAATTACACAGAAATTTGATTTATTTTTCAAATATTCATTTAATTAAAATTAAAAATATTATTTTAAATATTATATATCCAAAATCGAACTACCACCAGTTGTATCTCAAAAATATATATAAATATTGGAAGCAGAAAAGCAATATAATTTAACAAAATAATAAAAATCAACAACAAAAATGTGTTAACGGGAAGCTAAAAATAATGTGATAATACAAATGGGGATTTGGAGGTAAATGAAAAATAATGAAATTAAAAAAAGAGTAGCAAATTAAAAACTACAACAATAAGATGAATAGATGAAAGAATATTTATAATGAGTGAATAAGTGTGCGATTTATGTTATTGTAAATAAATATTGTAAATAATATTTACTTTTTAATTTTAGTTATAAAAAAATCAAACAAAAAATTAAAAATAGTATTTATTATTTTGGTATGCACCTATTGCCTAAAGATGTGTACACTTCAATCTCCGTTTCTTGCATCTGTCTTTTGCTCGCCCGCTGGTCGCTTTTGAATCTTCAGTTTTACGTGATCTTATTTCGCGCATCAGATCGAAAAATACCTGTGGCGTTTCAAGGGGAGTTGGTCGTAACATAGATAATAAGATCGATCACCGGCGGATGTTAGGAGGGGTTTTGCGGATAACAGAGTAACACAACGGATGCAACGACGGCGGGGCCCATTGATCGAGATTTCAGGGATCAAATGGGTTTATTATTATGGTTTCAAAAAAAAAAAAGAAGAAGCAAAAGAGAGATAAAGAGATAATGCAGTAGTAGATTGAGTCGTTTATTTGGTTCAGGGGGTACGGTAAGAAGAGAAATAGAGAAAGAGAGAGAGAAAGAAGGGAAAGAAATTAAATTTATATTTTTTTATAAATAAAATTAATAATTTTATATAAAGCAAATTTAAAGCTAAGATCTCTAGGAGGGAAATTCTTCTTTAACTAGTGCCTAAAAGAGAATTAATGTAACTATTTTTTTTCGAGTGTAAACTAAATTTGCAGCAAATAATAAACTAAGAAAATAAAGTATTTAAAATAAATCTAAAAAAATAATACAGAACGTATTTATAGAAAATATTATTGCTACTTTTTTGGAACTAAAAAAAATTGAACTTATTTCCACCAACAACAAGTCCTCTTGGTGGGTGAAAATAGAAATCATGCAAAAAAAAGGAAATTCTAGAGAATTTTGGACCTAATTTTTGTTGGTGCTCAGTGCATGGATATTATAACAATTTTAGGGTCTATACATTATATTTTTTTATTAAATTTCAAGATTCGAAGTTCAAATTACTTTTTTACACAATCCTTGGTTTTTTATGATAGTTCCGAGATTATTCGAATCGTATTATCTCTTAAAAGATATAGATAAAATTACACCCACCACGAAGTACCGATTAACGATGGTGTATTTATGTTAATTTTAGAGCACTACTTATTTTTGTCGAGTGTATCGGTTTTTTTTTTTTTTTTTCTTGTAAAATTGTTCAAGTGTATTGTGTAAAGCAATACCAAAATGTGTAATTCTTGCAATTGTCAGTGTGTTGCAATATGGCGAAAATGTATGAAATATAATCGGGTAAGGTTTAAAAAATATACGAACTCTTAGAGGTCTTTCTTGAATAGTAATTCACAGTTCCCCAGGACTAGTGTTTTCTCTCTATAGAAAAATTGGCAGGGCATTGGCAAAACACCAGGTCTGTTTTTTCTACAGAATAACATTTGTGGACCCTCAGGACTGATTTTAGAAGATCTTTAGGAAGACTTTTATCTCTAGAAGACCTCTTGAAGTCTTGGTCGTCTATATAAAGGAGTCTTTCAAGAGATCTATAAATAAAGGACTTTCAAGAGATCTTCTATAAAGGACCTTCAAAGCAGTCCTGGGACCTACAATTGTTTCTATACAAAAAACCGTTTTTGGGAGAGTGCAACTTTTTTTGGTAACAAGCCCTCGGAACTACAAATTTTTTTATATAGAAAAAAGCTGTCCCGAGGGTCTGTAAATGTTTTTCTATAAAAAAAGCAGTCCATTGAAAGAAATTTGCAGGCCCACAGGACTGCCTTTTTTTCTATAGAAAAAAATTGCAGGACCTCAGGCCTGCTTTTTTTCTATAGAAAAAAATTGCAGGACCTCAGGCCTGCTTTTTTTCTATAGAAAAAAATTGCAGGATCTCAGGCCTGCTTTTTTTCTATAGAAAAAAATTGCAGGAACTCAGGCCTGCTTTTTTCTATAGAAAAAAATTGCAGGACCTCAGGCCTGCTTTTTTTCTATAGAAAAAAATTGCAGGACCTCAGGACTGCTTTTTTTCTATAGAAAAAAATTGCAGGACCTCAGGACTGCTTTTTTTCTATAGAAAAAAATTGCAGGACCTCAGGACTGCTTTTTTTCTATAGAAAAAAATTGCAGGACCTCAGGACTGCTTTTTTTCTATAGAAAAAAATTGCAGGACCTCAGGACTGCTTTTTTTCTATAGAAAAAAATTGCAGGACCTCAGGACTGCTTTTTTTCTATAGAAAAAAATTGCAGGACCTCAGGACTGCTTTTTTTCTATAGAAAAAAATTGCAGGACCTCAGGACTGCTTTTTTTCTATAGAAAAAAATTGCAGGACCTCAGGACTGCTTTTTTTCTATAGAAAAAAATTGCAGGACCTCAGGACTGCTTTTTTTCTATAGAAAAAAATTGCAGGACCTCAGGACTGCTTTTTTTCTATAGAAAAAAATTGCAGGACCTCAGGACTGCTTTTTTTCTATAGAAAAAAATTGCAGGACCTCAGGACTGCTTTTTTTCTATAGAAAAAAATTGCAGGACCTCAGGACTGCTTTTTTTCTATAGAAAAAAATTGCAGGACCTCAGGACTGCTTTTTTTTTCTATAGAAAAAAATTGCAGGACCTCAGGCCTGCTTTTTTCTATAGAAACAAATTGCAGGACCTCAGGCCTGCTTTTTTCTATAGAAACAAATTGCAGGACCTCAGGACTGCTTTTTTTCTATAGAAAAAAATTGCAGGACCTCAGGACTGCTTTTTTCTATAGAAAAAAATTGCAGGACCTCAGGACTGCTTTTTTCTATAGAAAAAAATTGCAGGACCTCAGGACTGCTTTTTTCTATAGAAAAAAATTGCAGGACCTCAGGACTGCTTTTTTTCTATAGAAAAAAATTGCAGGACCTCAGGACTGCTTTTTTTCTATAGAAAAAATTGCAGGACCTCAGGACTGCTTTTTTTCTATAGAAAAAATTGCAGGACCTCAGGACTGCTTTTTTTCTATAGAAAAAATTGCAGGACCTCAGGACTGCTTTTTTTCTATAGAAACAAATTTGCAGATCCTCAGGACTGTTTTTTTTTTATAGAAAAACATTTGCAGAACCTCAGGACTGCTTTTTTTCTATAGAAAAAAATTGCAGGACCTCAGGACTGCTTTTTTTCTATAGAAAAAAATTGCAGGACCTCAGGACTGTTTTTTTTCTATAGAAAAAAATTGCAGGACCTCAGGACTGCTTTTTTTCTATAGAAAAAAATTGCAGGACCTCAGGACTGCTTTTTTTCTATAGAAAAAAATTGCAGGACCTCAGGACTGCTTTTTTTCTATAGAAAAAAATTGCAGGACCTCAGGACTGCTTTTTTTCTATAGAAAAAAATTGCAGGACCTCAGGACTGCTTTTTTTCTATAGAAAAAAATTGCAGGACCTCAGGACTGCTTTTTTTCTATAGAAAAAAATTGCAGGACCTCAGGACTGCTTTTTTTCTATAGAAAAAAATTGCAGGACCTCAGGACTGCTTTTTTTCTATAGAAAAAAATTGCAGGACCTCAGGACTGCTTTTTTTCCATAGAAAAAAATTGCAGGACCTCAGGACTGCTTTTTTTCTATAGAAAAAAATTGCAGGACCTTAGGACTGCTTTTTTTCTATAGAAAAAAATTGCAGGACCCCAGGACTGTTTTTTTTCTATAGAAAAAAACTTTGCAGAACCTCAGGACTGCTTTTTTCTATAGAAAAAATTTGCAGATCCTCAGGACTGTTTTTTTTTTCTATTAAAAAAAATTGCAGATCCTCAGGACTGCTTTTTTTAATAGAAAAAAATTCCAGAACCTCAGGACTGTTTTTTTCTATAGAAAACAACGCAGGCCCTCGGACTGTCTTTTTTCTATAGAAGACCTCTTACAGGCATTAAATCTGTTGAGAACTCATTGAAAGACTTCAACATTTAAAATACCTCTTCAACATTTAAAATACCTCTTTTTTCTATAGAAGACCTCTTACAGATCTTTAACCTGTTGAGAACCTCTTGAATGACTTCAACATTTAAAATACCTTTTGAAGTTCTTATTTCTATAGAAGGCATATGACGTTCTTCTATAAGTAGAAGATCTCTTGAATGCCTTCTATCTGTAGAACATCTTTTGAAGATATTCTATATTTTGAAGGACTTCTACCTATAGAACAGCTTCTGAAGGTCTTCTATCTATAGAAGATCACTTGAAGGTCTTCTATAGAACCTATACAAGAATCATCAGGAGACTTGAAAGTCTTCTGTTGCCAGAAAAGCTCTTGAAGGTCTCTAGAAACCCTTTTAAATGACTTCTATCACTAGAAGACCTCTTGATGATCCCTATAAGAGCTATTGAAGGGTTTCCATCTCTAGAATACTCTTAGAGGCTCTGCTACCTACAGAAGACCTCTTGAAGTTCGTCTGCCTATAGAAGACTTATGTAGATCTTCAAAAGATCTCTTAAAGATCTTCTATCGCTAGAAGAGCTCTTGAAGGTCACTAGAGATCTCCTAAAGGTCTCTTATAGATCTTCTTTCTATAGAAGACCTCTTGAGAATATATCGACGGTTAGACTCGTACCTAAACCGATTATATTTTCACACATTTCCGCAATTTGTTGTCATGCAAAGGATACTATTTACCCATGTTTTTATTTTTTTGGAATTTCTATGTATGGTGTAGAACAAAAACAAATGGAAAAAATGAAGATAATGAAGTAATGAAGAAAACAGAAAAAAACCCAGGGACAATACAATTGCAATTCTGATTCTTATTCGGTTTCAGTGTATTGTTTTATGAGAATAATGTTGCATTGCATAATCAAGAAAGTGATAAAAGAGGGGGAACATAAAAACAAATGGAACTGAAAAAAATAAAAAGGGGTTCGAAAAAAATGAGGGGGAATAAAATAAAGAAGTGTTGGTACTTCAAAAAGAACAACCAAAATGTGTATCAACAATAACAACAACAACATCAACAACAATAAGAGCAACAACGACAACACTTATGGAAAAAAATAATGGCAACAAACAAAACAACAACAAAATGAACATAAAATAGAATTCAGCTGCATTTTAAGTAAAAAATGAAACTTAAAAAATAAATAAAAAATACAAGAAAATAAAATTCAAAAGAAAACGAAACAAAAAATATATTCTCTAAAGTTTCCCTATTTCAGTTGATTTCAAAACTTCAACAAAGAGTTGATTTTGATTTAGGTTAAAAGGAATGGGGAAATAGCTGTAAGGAAGGGAACAATTCTTTCTGGGTATGGGGGCAAGAAGGAAGGAAAGGAAATAAAGTCACGTTATAATAACAACAACAAAAATAAAGAAATCAAAAGAACGCTTTACCTTATCGACATTTTCACGTGTCTTAGCCGATGTTTCCACATATGGCACCTGCCATTGCTGGGCTCGTTGCTGACACTCGTTCAGGGCCACTCTGCGCCTGTCACTTAAATCGCATTTGTTACCAACCAACAGGAATGGTATGCTTTCGTCATTTTTAACGCGCAAAATTTGTTCCCTGTAAAGGAAGTAAGAAGAGAAAGGGAATTATTAATTATGAATGGAATAATAAAAAGAATATATCAAACATTAATTGGAATAGCCTTAATATAATGTATTAAAACAGAAATTTTGTTTATTTTTTTAAAAAAATGCTATAGCCTTTTCAAAGAAACCACGACTGTTTAAGGATTTCAACAAATATTCTATAAATAAGCCACGCCTCATTAGAAACTAGAAAAGGAATGGTGACCCGCAGGTCAGCCTTTTTTCTGTAGTTAAAAATTTGCTGAACCTCAGGTCAGCTTTTCCTGTGGAAAAACTTATAGAAAACCAGTAAGGAAAGTAGTAAAGTCGGACGGGGCCGACTATATGATACCCTTCACCACGTTATTCTAACTCCAGTACGTTGTGCAAAATTTGTGTCAATTTTGTGTAAAATCGGACGACACATTTTACATTAAATCGGACGAAAATATTTTTTTTTACGAAACTTAACACACATCATTCTAAACCTAATTCATTGCGCTATGCCAAATTTCATGAAAATCGAAAGATATATAGGGACTTTGGTACACCATTTACATTAAATCAGACGAAAATATATATGGAAGGAATATCTAAATCTAAACCGATTTTCACAAAATTTAACAGGAGCTATATCTAAATCTGGACCGATTTTCACGAAACTTAGCACACATCATTCTGGACCTAATTCAGTACTCTATGCGTGCAAATCGAATAATATATAGGGACTTTGGTGCACCATTTACCTTAAATAGGACGAAACTATATATGGGAGCTATATCTAAATCTCAACCGATTTTCTCGAAATTTGGCACACATCATTCTGCACCTATTTCAGTACTCTATGCCAAATATCGTGCAAATGAAATGATATATAGGTAATTTGGCGCACCATTTACCTTAAATCGGACGAAACTATATATGGGAGCTATATCTAAAGCTGACCCGATTTTCTCGAAACTTGGCACACATCATTCTGCACCTGATTCAGTACTCTGTGCCAAGTTTCGTGCAAATCGAAAGATATAGAGGGACTTTGGTGCCCCATTTACCTTAAATCGGACGAAAATATATATGGGAGCTATATCTAAATCTGAACCGATTATTCCCAATTTCAATAGGGTTCGCCCTTGGGCCAAATAAGTGACTTGTGCCAAATTTCATCTAAATCGGATCATAAATGCGACCTGTACTTTGTTTACAATTTAACATCTACAGACGGACAGACAGACGGACGGACATGCATAAATCGACTCAGAAAGTGATTCTATGCATATTCTCAAAAGGAACCATGTGTCTATCTCGTTTCCTTTTGCCTGTTACAAACATATGCACAAAGACATAATACCATGTACCACAGTGTGGTGAAGGGTATAAAAATTAAGGCCGCTAGGTCTATTTTCTTCTATAAAAAAATACAGGCCCCAGGGTCCGCATTTTTCTATAAAAAATGTGCAGGCTCTAAAGTAATATTTTTATAGATAAAAAAATTAGGCCCCAGAAAAGTAATTGCAAGCCCAGGTCTATTTTTTCTATAGAAAAAATTTTGCAGGTAACTAGGTCTGCTTTCTTTTTATATAGAAATAATTTGCAGTACTGTTGCCACACCTTATTGGGGACTGGACAAAACATTATTTACACACGCCTCCTCTGTAATGACTTGAAAAATATTCTTTAAAAAATCCACGCCTTCTCTGTAAGGACTTGAAAAAATATTCTTTAAAAATCCACGTCTCATCTGTAAGGACTTGAAAAAATCCTTAAAAAATACATGCCTTCTCTGTAAGAACTTGAAAAAATATTCTTTAAAAAATCCACGCCTTCTCTGTAAGGACTTGAAAAAATATTCTTTAAAAATCCACGTCTCATCTGTAAGGACTTGAAAAAATCCTTAAAAAATACATGCCTTCTCTGTAAGAACTTGAAAAAATATTCTTTAAAAAATCCACGCCTCCTCTGTAAGGACTTGAAACAATATTCTTTAAAAAATCCACGACTATTGTAGTCTTTGAAAAATATTCCTTAAAAAATCCACGCCTATTTTAGTCCTTAAAAAATAATCTTAAAAAAATCCACGCCTATTTTAGTCCTTAAAAATAATCTTAAAAGAAATCCACGCCCATTTAAGTCCTTAAAAAATCCACGCCTATTTTAGTCCCTAAAAAATTCACGCCTATTTTAGTCCTTAAAAAATCCACGCCTATTTTAGTCCCTAAAAAAATCACGCCTATTCTAGTCCTTAAAAAAATATTTTTTAATACATCCACGCCTTGTTTGGTCCTTGAAAAATACTCTATAAAAAATGCACACCTCTTTAAGGACTTGAAAAAAAATATTCTAAAAAATTTACGCCTATTTTAGTCCTTAAAAAATCCACGCCTATTTCAGTCCTTAAAAAAATCCACGCCTATTTTTGTCCTTAAAAATCCACTCCTATTCTAGTCCTTAAAAAAATATTTTTTAATACATCCACGCCTTGTTTGGTCCTTGAAAAATACTCTATAAAAAATGCACACCTCTTTAAGGACTTGAAAAAAAATATTCTAAAAAATTTACGCCTATTTTAGTCCTTAAAAAATCCACGCCTATTTCAGTCCTTAAAAAATCCACGCCTATTTTTGTCCTTAAAAATCCACTCCTATTCTAGTCCTTAAAAAAATATTTTTTAATACATCCACGCCTTGTTTGGTCCTTGAAAAATACTCTATAAAAAATGCACACCTCTTTAAGGACTTGAAAAAAAATATTCTAAAAAATTTACGCCTATTTTAGTCCTTAAAAAATCCACGCCTATTTCAGTCCTTAAAAATCCACGCCTATTTTTGTCCTTAAAAATCCACTCCTATTCTAGTTCCAAAAAAATATTTTTTAATACATCAATGCCTTGTTTGGTCCTTGAAAATACTCTATAAAAAATTCACACCTCATGAAGGACTTGAAAAAAAATTCTTTAAAAAATTCACGCCATAAAAAGTTCTTCCATGATTTGTTGCTACAATAATTCATTAAATCATAATCTCATATATATTTTTTACATTTACAGTTATGTTGAGAAGATTGGGGGTTATGTGAGTATGTAGTACACACTGGTTCGTTTGTCTGTATGTCTGCATGCATTAATGTTATGTCCTCATTTACCTAGTTTTTTACGATTTCTAATGAGTGTCTCATAAAAGCCAAATAGAAACAGGGCGCGCTAAGAGTTCTTCAACAACAAATGGTAGGAGGCAAGCGGAGCTAGGCTGGCTGAATATATTCCACATAAAATAAAAACAGAAAAAAACTATTCCAATGTTGAAAAATATAATGGCTATATGAGTGAGTCGTTTGTTTTTTTCCAGGTCCCCTAAAGAACTCTCTGCTACCTTCTCTCTCCCCATCTCCCCATCACTCTCTTACATTACGTTATAGTTACAAAACTAGCAAGTGTTCCTCCACCTCCTGAATGGTGAACTAACACTTAAATTTCCTTCTTGTGGCTTATGCAGAGAATCAACTCTCTGGAATACTTCCGTAAAAAAGTCAACTCATTAGAAGTATTGCTATGTTTTTTAACGTTTGGGCTAGTTCGTGGCCTGGTTTGGGGATTTCAGTTCTAAGGAATACACAATTTTTATGATGGGGTTAGGCGTTAGAGCATGGAACGACAAAATGTTTATGTATCCATAAAAATACATTGAGTCCTTTTAAATGAGGGGGAAGAATGTCACTTATGAAATACAATTTTTTGGGGGGAAATTTTATTTATTTGTTGTTGTCTATATTACAATAAAATAATATGTTTTGGCGCCAAAAGTCTGTTTGTAATTATGTCATACCTAAATATTGTTTCCTTGGGCCAGGCGACGCCAAACGTGTCTGCTGGCTAGGTGAACTAATTATCTGCAATGACATGCCCCGCACCACAGACAGAAGGACGAGAATGTAGAGGACAATTAAATATGTATTAACCTGGATAAAAGAACAAAATACAGCAGGAAATTTTTTTCAAGCACTATCTAAGGCGTGGATTTTTTAAAGAATATTTTTTTAAGTCCTTAGAGGAGGAGGCGTTGATTTTTTAAAGAATTTTTTTCAAGTCCTTAGAGGGGGACGCGTGGATTTTTAAATGAATATGTTTTTAAATCCTTAGAGGAGTAGGCGTGGATTTTTTAAAGAATATTTTTTTAAATGTTTGGGAGGAGTAGGCGTGGATTTTTTAAAAAATATTTTTTTAAATGTTTGGGAGGAGTAGGCGTGGATTTTTTAAAGAATATTTTTTTAAATGTTTGGGAGGAGTAGGCGTGGATTTTTTAAAGAATATTTTTTTAAATGTTTGGGAGGAGTAGGCGTGGATTTTTTAAAGAATATTTTTTTAAATGTTTGGGAGGATTAGGCGTGGATTTTTTAAAGAATATTTTTTTAAATGTTTGGGAGGAGTAGGCGTGGATTTTTTAAAGAATATTTTTTTAAATGTTTGGGAGGAGTAGGCGTGGATTTTTTAAAGAATATTTTTTTTTTAAATGTTTGGGAGGAGTAGGCGTGGATTTTTTAAAGAATATTTTTTTTTAAATGTTTGGGAGGAGTAGGCGTGGATTTTTTAAAGAATATTTTTTTAAATGTTTCGGAGGAGTAGGCGTGGATTTTTTAAATGTTTCGTAGGAGTAGGCGTGGATTTTTTAAAGAATATTTTTTTAAAGGCAACATCAAGGCGTGGCTTTTTTAAAGAATATTTTTTTAAATGTTTCGGAGGAGTAGGCGTGGATTTTTTAAGAATATTTTTTTAAATGTTTCGGAGGAGTAGGCGTGGATTTTTTAAAGAATATTTTTTTAAATGTTTCGGAGGAGTAGGCGTGGATTTTTTAAAGAATATTTTTTTAAATGTTTCGGAGGAGTAGGCGTGGATTTTTTAAAGAATATTTTTTTAAATGTTTGGGAGGAGTAGGCGTGGATTTTTTAAAGAATATTTTTTTAAATGTTTGGGAGGAGTAGGCGTGGATTTTTTAAAGAATA